GAAATACTGGAGAGATTTTGTGGTGTTTTGAAACTTTAAAACTTTTGAAACTTTCTGAGATAATTTGTTTTAGTGTGTCCTTTCCACATATAACATGATTGTTGCTTTTCAAAAACCAGATCTTAAAATATTTTTCTTCTAATAGTTGAATTTACCCCATTTATTTGTATTGGTTGAAAAAAACATTTTGTAGTCTACATCTTATCATATGTTATATTTATATTGTAATTCTGTTTTATTGTATGGTCTGTTCCATTCCTCCTTTTTCTTTACTCCCTTTCTGGGAAGACTTTGGTATCTCTTATCTTTTCTTTTTTTCCTAAGGGAATGGCAAATAGTGTTCTCACAGGTTTAGGAGCAGTGGAGTCGAATCTAAAAAACTGAGATGAAAGTACATGAACCATGCAGGTTCAGAAATTGACAATGCAACTTATGGTGCAGAGAGATAACTTAAAATGCTATCAGCTCATCTTGTTAACTTTTTATGTGGATTCTTTGCTTTATGTTAAAGTCTTTCTTTTTGTTCTTTTAAATTGCCTTCATAGATACTTTAAGCCTGTGGCTCTGGTCTGTGGATCCTCTTTCAGAATAATGCTGAAACATCATTTGCCTTCTTCACTGATGGTACAGAAAGCAATGGTGGATAAAACTGATGATGCCTTACCATGAGTCAAGGCAGTGGCACCAAACTGTAATAGTCGTCATGTAATAGTAGTCATATGCTCTTTACTTTAGTAAGAACCAAGCATTTTAGTAAAAAAAAAGAAAAAAAAAATTGGTTATACTTAAGGATACCATTGATGAAGCTGTAAAAGTTACTAATTTTATTAAATCGTCACCCTGAGTATTTATCTTTGTAAAATCCTTTTTATGAAATGTGAGTATTTGGAAGGTACTTTTTAGTACATACTGAAGAAGGAAGAGTGTTTTCAGGGGAAGCGCTTGTTGTTTGAATTGCTGGCTACAGTAGCTAACTAGCTTCTTATTTTGTGAAATAACTGCTTTTACTAAAAACAACGATCGACTCATAACACGTGATTATTCCATCTGAGTTTTAATAGATATTGCCCCATAAATGATCAACATCAGCCTGTCACTTCAGTAAAAACAAGTAACAATATTGTTGCCAGGGATAAAATTAAAAGTTTCTTTTTTTTTTTTTTTTGAGATGGAGTCTTGCTGTGTTGCCCAGGCTGGAGTGCAGTGGTATGATCTCAACCCATCGCAGCCTCTGCATCCTGGGTTCAAGTGATTCTCTTGCTTCAGCCTCTTGAGTAGGTGGGATTACAGATGTGAGCCACAATGGCCAGCTAATGTTTGTATTTGTAGCCAGGTTGGTCTTGAACTCCTGACCTCAAGTGATCCACCCACCACGGCCTCCCAAGAGTGCTGGGATTATAGGCATGAGCCACCGCACCCAGCCTAAATTCCATGTTTCAAACAAAAATTACAGTTGTGGAAAGCTTGTATCTACCACTGTTGACTTAACTGCTTTTCAGTACTTGAAAGACTTTGGTGATATTCACAAATATGAGTTTGTCATATTGTGTAATGAAATTACTAATATATGATGTTAGAAAACCGTGATTCATATAAGATTTGTTCAGAATGCAAGATGGACCAATGGGTTTGAATGTTACAGAGTGAAAAATTTGTTATGGTTTCAGATTTTACAGGGCAATTTTACATTAAGAAACTATCATTCAGTGAATTTTGATATCAAAGAAAAATATCCATAGTTAATATGAAAAGGTTATTAAATAAAATATATTCTTCCTTTTTCCAACTGTGTATCTGGAGGAGGCTGAATTTTCTTCTTACACTTTAATTAAAACAACATACGGTAGTCCCCCATGCACAGTTTTCAGTTACCCACGGTGGATAGTCATCCTAACACAGGTAAGTGCAGTACAACATGATGTTTTGTGTGAGAGAGAGTCCACATTCTCATAGATTTTATTACAATATATTGCTATAATTGTTCAATTTTAAAAATAAATTATAGTTGCTAATCTTTTACTGTGCCTAATTTAAAAATTAAATTTTATCGTAGTTATGTGTGTATAGGAAAAAAAGCGAAGTAGGCCGGGCGCGGTGGCTCAAGCCTGTAATCCCAGCACTTTGGGAGGCCGAGGCGGGTGGATCACGAGGTCAAGAGATCGAGACCATCCTGGTCAACATGGTGAAACCCCGTCTCTACTAAAAATACAAAAAATTAGCTGGGCATGGTGGTGCGTGCCTGTAATCCCAGCTACTCAGGAGGCTGAGGCAGGAGAATTGCCTGAACCCAGGAGGCGGAGGTTGCGGTGAGCCAAGATCATGCCATTGCACTCCAGCCTGGGTAACATGAGTGAAACTCCGTCTCAAAAAAAAAAAAAAAAAAAAAGCGAAGTATACTTTTTATAGGGGTCTGTACTATCTGTGGTTTGAGGCATCCACTGAGGATCTTAGATGTATCCTCTGCCGAGACTAGAGAGACTGATACTCTGTATCTTCAATAAATAAATAAATAACAAATTTTCCTAGGTTTTTATGTATTTATTTATTTATTTATTTTTTTAAGACTGAGTTTTCACTCTTGTTGCCCAGGCTGGAGTACAGTGGTGCGATCTTGGCTCACTACAACCTCAATCTCCTGCCTCAGCCTCCTGAGTAGCTGGGATTACAGGCACACACCACCTAATTTATTTATTTATTTATTTATTTTGTATTTTTAGTAGAGACAGGGTTTCACCATGTTGACCAGGGTGGTCTCGAACTCTTAACCTCTGGTGATCTACCCGCCTCAGCCTCCCAAAGTGCTGTGATTGCAGGCGCTAGCCACTGTGCCCGGTCCCAGTTTTATTTTCTAGTAGGGTACATTTCAGTCGACACAACCCACATAAACAGTGCTGCTGCTTGTCTTCCAATAATTTTTAAGAGAATAAAGGGGTTCTGAGACCAGAATGTTTGAAAACCACTGATGTAAGCAGAAGAATGGCAGGTAGGGCAGTCTGGCACAGGGAAAGAATGCGAGCTTTGCAGATAGCAGCCAGGTTTAGATTCTGGATCTGCTGTTTGTAGTAGCAAATTGTTTGACTTTGTTGGGCAAATTCGAATCTCTCTGATACTCTGTTTCCTCATTTTGTAAAAGGGGGATAATAAAGCTGTTTTGTTTATTGAAGATTATGTAGTTGTTTGATCTACTTTTTTTATTATGTGTTATGATGACTGACTGCCTCAAGTCATTTCTTTAAGAAGAGGTTGAAATTATTTGAAGATGCTGTCCTTTACTCATATAGATAAAGCATTTGAATGTCGAAAGCTTTTTCCCTTGAAACTTTATATACATTTTATGTGTAAACTTAAAATTTTACAATTAGAAAAGCAGTAAAACTAATTCAGAACATTTACTTAGGCACGAGACAGATGGTAATCCTATAAAAAGATGGCATATATTTTTGGATGTGCAAACAGAAAAACAGATACTCTTAAAAATTTTAGAGTAATCTTTGCCTAGAAATTGAAGGGAAGAGATAAAAGACCATATGGCCTAATAGAACTTTTTATGGTTTGTAATGTCCAGGATTGAATTTTGTTTCTTTAATATTAGTATTGATTAATAGCTTACAGATATGGACAGGTAGTTGAAAAAGGTATCATTTTCAAGTAGGTTATTGCCAAGTACTTTTGCTATGGTTGCCAGTCTCTCATGTTTTTGGGGTATGGGCGTGATAGTGGGAAGCAGAACTATTTGAATCTCACATTTAGGAGGGTTCATCAGTTACTGGTTCTGGCAGTTGTACATCATTATGCTTGAGTAGAAGACATGCGACTAAGACAGTGAGTTCACCTAATATACGACTTCTTTTATTATTTAAAAGTAACTGGTGCTTCAGATATTTTAAATTTTTTATTTTTTTTACAACTTGTTCAGAAACGTAGTGCATGACAGTAGACTTATAAAAATTGCTTCTTCCTTTTGGGCACATGATATTACTGATCCCCTGATAGGTTGTCTGATCTGAGTGGTTTTTAGTAAAAATGATTCCATCTGTATACCACCCAAATCCTATCCAAAACTAAAAGGAGACATTTACCAGGTTTTCTCTCCTGTCAGCTCTAACCTTGTGTACCATTATGTGACTGAAGTGTTGATACTACAATGTATCCGTTCATATATCTGTCACTCTTATTGGATTAGGAGACGTCAGTTATTTATTAATCTGCATATTGCCACACAAGGCTGAGCCAGGCTGACTCAGCGGAGGCTGAGTAGGGGCTTAGCAAATGCAGAGTGAGTTCATGAATGGGATCAAAGCTAGAGCCAGAGTCTTTTGCCAAGAAACTGAGTGGCGCTAAACTGCTGGTTTGGGAGGTCAGAATCTTGTTCTGGGTTTTATTAGCATTTCGCTCAAGTTCAAGCAAATCACCTTGTCAAGGCATTGTACTCTGATGGCTGCAGAGAAGGCAGCACATGGCGGTGGAGGAAAGAAAACATTCCGCACAGCTTAAACAGAAGGCCTTTGTAAAGCAGTGTTGCTAGGATCACTTAACGTGGTTTATGGAACCAAGATTTCTTCCTGTGAAGTGACTTTCAGAAAGTCTTTACAGAATTGAAATCCTGTATTTCAGTGGTAGAACAATGTACAAAGAAGTTTAGAAAACGTATTTCTGGATACAGAAGTAAAAATTTGCCACGGGAAATGCAAAAAAGTAAGAATAATTTTGGAAATATGTTTCATAATCTTCCAAATAGATCAAAATGAGACACATCTCGTTTTTATGGGTGTATTTCAGAGATGAAAGATTTTCAGCCTGCATGCATTTGACTTCTCCCTCCTCTGTGCTTGGAGAACTTGATGGTGAATGAGCCTATTCTCAAGGAACTCCTGAGTATAGAGGAACATCTCTAGATAATTTAGCATCAATAATGAAATTCTTTTTGTTTATTTTGACGCATGCTTAAATATTAAAATATGCATAAGGTGTTGAGGAGCTGACTAGGCTTGTTTTTCCAGTTCTACGGAGCGCCTTTGCTGAGCGTCACGCTGGGACACGAGCGGGTCAGTGCTGCAGGAGTGCGGTCTAGCCTAGACTCCAGCTGGGAAGAATGTGACCACTGGCCCACACGTTAGAGATTGTACCAAAAAGCGAGGTGCCAGGGAAAAGAAAGGTAGATGCAAGCTTTTTCTTTATAAACATGATCAAATATTCAGCACATGCTCATTGTGTAGTAGGCAGTGATCTGCTCTGCTGGGTGCAACAGAAAGAAATCCCAGTCCTAACAGAGCTGACATTAAGAAAAGACTGGGGTGTTCCTGTTCAGAAGCTAAAGGATTAAACCTGACTAAAATAAAACTTTGGTGGAAATATTTTTTAATATGACTCTTTCTTTTTTTTTAGAAAATGGCTCCAAAGGTTAAATGAAGCAGGAAAAATACATAGATGCAGCCTTGCAGGCTCTCCAGATGTTTGGGGATAATATTCCAGGAAGAAATTTTGATCCCTTGGATTAGGTAACTAGTCATAATGAAGAAAATTAGTCTTAAAACCTTCCGGAAATCTTTTAACTTGAATAAAAGTAAAGAAGAAACTGATTTCATGGTAGTACAACCACCATCGCTAGCCGGTGACTTTGGAAAAGATGATTCCTTGTTTGGTAGCTGCTACGGTAAAGATATGGCCAGCTGCGATATCAACAGTGAAGATGAAAAAGGCGGAAAAAACAGATCAAAAAGCGAGAGCCTGATGGGAACGCTAAAAAGGCGGCTTTCTGCAAAACAGAAAAAAGGCAAGGCAGGCACACCCTCTGGGAGCTGTGCCGACGAGGACACCTTCTCCTCCTCCTCAGCACCCATCGTCTTTAAAGACGTGAGAGCTCAGAGGCCGATACGGTCCACCTCCCTCCGCAGCCATCACTACAGCCCCACGCCGTGGCCTCTTCGGCCCACAAACTCCGAGGAGACCTGCATCAAGATGGAGGTGAGAGTCAAGGCCTTGGTTCACTCTTCCAGCCCGAGTCCAGCCCTGAACGGCGTCCGGAAGGATTTCCACGACCTCCAGCCTGAGACCGCGTGCCAAGAGCAAGCCAATTCACTGAAGAGCTCGGCTTCACAGAACGGAGACCTGCATCTTCACCTGGATGAACATGTGCCTGTCGTTATTGGACTTATGCCTCAGGACTACATTCAGTATACTGTGCCTTTAGATGAGGGGATGTATCCTTTGGAAGGATCACGTAGCTATTGTCTGGACAGTTCTTCTCCCATGGAAGTCTCTGCGGTTCCTCCTCAAGTGGGAGGGCGCTCTTTCCCTGAAGACGAGAGTCAGGTAGACCAGGACCTCGTTGTTGCCCCAGAGATCTTTGTGGATCAGTCGGTGAATGGCTTGTTGATTGGCACCACGGGAGTCATGTTGCAGAGCCCGAGGGCGGGTCACGATGATGTCCCTCCACTCTCACCATTGCTACCTCCAATGCAGAATAATCAAATCCAAAGGAACTTCAGTGGACTCCCTGGCACAGAGGCCCACGTGGCTGAAAGTATGCGCTGTCATTTGAATTTTGATCCTAACTCTGCTCCTGGGGTTGCAAGAGTTTATGACTCAGTGCAAAGTAGTGGTCCCATGGTTGTGACAAGCCTTACAGAGGAGCTGAAAAAACTTGCAAAACAAGGATGGTACTGGGGACCAATCACACGTTGGGAGGCAGAAGGGAAGCTAGCAAACGTGCCAGATGGTTCTTTTCTTGTCCGGGACAGTTCTGACGACCGTTATCTTTTAAGCTTGAGCTTTCGCTCCCATGGTAAAACACTTCACACTAGAATTGAGCACTCAAACGGTAGGTTTAGCTTTTATGAACAGCCAGATGTGGAAGGACACACGTCCATAGTTGATCTAATTGAGCATTCAATCAGGGACTCTGAAAATGGAGCTTTTTGTTATTCAAGGTCTCGGCTGCCTGGATCTGCAACTTACCCCGTCAGACTGACCAACCCAGTGTCCCGGTTCATGCAGGTGCGCTCGCTGCAGTACCTGTGTCGCTTTGTTATACGTCAGTATACCAGGATAGACTTAATTCAGAAACTGCCTTTGCCAAACAAAATGAAGGATTATTTACAGGAGAAGCACTACTGAAAGATTGAGAACCCTGCATCTTGCACTTTGGGAATAAGGAAAAGAGATTGAAATACAGTTTACAGACTTTCATTGCCATCAAAATCTTTTGCTGCCATAACTATTTGTTTTATGTGTAAAAGAGTCATCAGTTTGTTAGGGGGAAGTGTCAGCAAGGTGTCTTGGGTTTCATTTGGTTCTTTAAAAAGGGAAGTCTTGAGGTTTTAGAGGTGTGAATTATCTTTCATCAATGTGCAGAATAATCACAATGTGAATTATCAAATTCTCCTCAATGCCCCCCGCCCAGTCCTTTGCTGCTATCCACTGTGATTTTTATGCATTAAAAGCACATTTCATGTGTATTCAACCTTAAGTAAAGTCGAATGAAACTTACAGAATGGAAATTGCTATGTCTTTTTAAATGGCCCATTTTCAAAAGATAATGTTGAATAAACATACCTGTGTGATGTGATAAAACACAGAATTTACGTATACACTGAAGATGAGTTTTTAATTTCTTTAAAAAGATTTATTTAGAATCATGAATTGACATAATCTTGGGTAATGGAACGGAGATCTACAACATATAACAACAGCATAATTTTTTCTAAATTATTTCTGAGGTTGTGCTAAGTTTTTTGGTTGTGAAAAGTTGAATTTTTCTGTTGCCTTTATTTTCATCTTATAGTTTGTCTATTTTAATAAATGGCCTTACATTAAAAAATTGTAAAGAAATGTATACCACCCGTTTAGGAATTGTTGCCTTTTCTGTAATTAAACTCGGGTACAAATTGGCATAACACGAAAACCTATGGAACTAGAATTATTATTAAAGAAATATTAGATGATCATAGTTTCCTGTGATAGCATTTTTGGTGCGTGTTACCTTTACTTTCTTTTGGTAAAATGTTTTATCTGTGATTTCTTTAGCTTAGTCAACATTTTCTTGGGTGAACTTGATTGTCAACTAATTTTCATAAATGGACTGGATTCCCTTGCAGCATTAATGTTTATAAAAAGTTTTAAATTGATTTGAATAGAAAGAAAACTTTGTTTTAAAGTTGGATTTATATTTTTCTTCTATGTAGTTACTATAAAAGTGTGCTGGATTTTGACCATTCCTTACCCCCACTATAAAGAGAATCCTTGATGACTTTAAAAATTGGGGAAATTGTGGAGCAATTTTTCTAACAACGTGAGAAAAACATTAAAACCATGTTAGATAATGTGAAAGTCATATTGTCTATCATATATACTGCCATTTAAAAATAGGTTTTTAAAATTTAGCTTAATCTTCACTAATTTGCCATGCTAATAATTTTATATCCTTGAGTCTGTTGTTGGGGAGGGATGTTATATTCAGTAATTTTTAGTTATTTTGAAACACAGAGTGTTTATTCATTTAACAGTTCTGCAATGGATGTAGTATTTCGGGATTGCCCTGTCCAGAAAATTTTCAGCTATACAGCTTTAAAGGAAAGTGTTTCTATCTCAGATGAAACATGTAATTTGGGATGGTTCTTCCTTTGTCGCTTAAAGGAAGAGATAGGAAAAGTCTCTTACCACTTTAAACATGAGGATAAAGGTTTAGGTCATACTTTCTGGCTTTGTCATTCAAACATATCTGAATCCTCACTTTTTTCTCTTTGTTTTTTAGGGTCAGAACTGAGATATTACCAAGAAAAGGCACAATGCCATAGTATTATGGTGTTATGGTATTTTGACTTAAAGGGGAAAAGGTACTTAATTTTGGTGGGATGTTACTTGTACCTTATTACAAAGACTCATTCATTTTCTGATATGTTTTCTCCTAATAAGATGGAATATGGAGTAATACTGTAATAATATAATTTAAGTGTTCATTATAAGCTATTTGGATTAAGAACTATTACAGAGTTGTAAGCTTGTTATCAAATTAATGCAAGACATTTAAACTATTTTTTTGCAAAACTATTTATTTTTAAAACAACTTAAAATATATCTAGGGTGAGTTAAAAGTCCCTGTGCATCTATATTAGATGGCAGGTTTTGTCACAGAGTCACTGTGTATAATAATAGATGTTGAAATGGCTTCTCCGTGTCTCCAGAAGCATTTACATGTCCTCCTTGTGAGATCATGGTGCACAGAGGTCTTTGGACTGCCCTGAACCCGTCTTATGTGGACATAACCTATTCCCTGTGTTTTCTCATCATGCCGTGTGTTTATGATCTACCCGTTTAGTGTCAAGATTATTCAGATTTTCATCTAAATGTTTTTTAAAATTGTATTTTGTGTTTAGTGGAGGACAGTCTTGATACTGTTCTAATTCAGAAAGCCAAATTTTGATGTGCTTTTGTACATTCATAATATATACTTTAATATGCCCTATTCTAATCTAGTTTGAAATTGTTAGATTCTGATAAAGTCAGACTATTTGCCAAAAAGTTAAATTTGCAAGCAGAAAGACGTTTTGTGACATTTTCTACTTTTGTGTGGAAAGATAACCGTTTGTGGAACAGAATGTGGAAGACTGGCTTTCTATGATACGAACACAGTCCGGTTAAAAGTGGAAACAGGGAAAAGAGAGAGAGAAAACTCATCATGTAGTTTGGTCTAGATACAATTTGGTTAAATTTTAGAATTCTATTGGCAGGTAACTTAGATGACATGGACACAGCCTATGATTGCTTTTTAAATACGTGCTTCTAAAAATCTGAGCTCAAGGCAAGGAAAAGAAAACAGGAAAGCTGTATCCATTTGCCATAATAGGTGAATCAGAATTGTTTTCTATTCAATATTTCATCATGAAACATGATGGAGGCCAGAAGCTACTTTTAGGCTTACTATAACACTATTGTGCGTTTTTATAAATAATAAGAAGGCTGTAGAAAGTACTTGAAAAATATCTCATTCTTTCTCTTTCTGTCTAAGGAAAACTCGGTGCAATAATCTGAAAATTTAGAAGGTCAGAATATATCACAGGAAATGATCATAGAACTAAAAATAGTTTTTAAGGAAACCAGCTACACAGGACAACCATCTTGCTATTGAAGAAAATCAAGTTCCAAAAGGCTAAATCATTGGCGTAAAGGAAACAGAACCCAAAGTATACGTTGTAATTTTTGAGTCAGTATTACTGAAACAGGATAAAAGTTACTAAAATCTTATATAGGTTAATGCAATGTCTCTGCTAGTGCTACAAGTCTAAAATATCTTTGTAACAATGCTTTCAGAAATGCCAATTTTAATTACTGTACATTTCACATTGTATATGAGAGATACTGCTTTATGAATGATTCAGAATAATACACTTTCATTTAAATCTTAATTGCTTTTCATCAAACATGAAGTCTTAATTTCAAAATGAAATCACACTACCAGCAATAGACAGTTTTGTTAAATACTCTAATAAGGAGCAATAGCCAGTTCCGCAAATAACTTTAAAATTCTAAAAGTGTTGGTACACTAGCAATCACAAATTTGGTTTCTTTTAATACTTTTTTAATCCTGTAAAGAAGGTTTTTTATAAACATTCTTTTTATTAATCAATCATAACATGGCAAAGTGTGTAGTTGCTGTTTCTGAAAAGTGATCCAAACTCTACATCCAGAGATTATGAAAAATTCTTATAGAATTTTGTAGTAAGTATACATGTTGGGTTAAAGAAATTTCATAGTTGTTGGAGTGCCATGAAATTAATACTTGCAATTCAGATTGCTGTAGTTTACACTTTTTCTGTATGTTTCAAATCAGGTGTGTACCATTTGTACTGAGAACACCACAGAATGAATTATCCAAAGTCCATTGATTTTAATATGTGTTTTGGTTTGTAAACAAATTATAGTAATTTCTTGCACATTTTTGGAAATTAATTGTATAAGAATTTATGTATCTGCTTCTAGATACAGTGTGTAAATAAAAAATTTTGTTCACAAGACCTGCCTTGTAGTCTATTTAACACCCTGATGCAGGACCTGATTTTAATTCGTACAGGGTTAACTAGATAATTTCTGGGTGTCCCAGGACCTGTGCAGGGGCTGGAGGCTGAGAACCATCAAAGTTTAGTAAAAACTGGAAAGCAGAATCATGTCACTAATGGAAGCTGTCAGCCAGTGGTGGTGCTCATCTACATAAAAGCCTTCCACGTGAAGGCTGGAGTGAGTTGGGAGAACATCTACTAAGCAAAAAGACTAAATTAAAACCGACACAGTAATGAAACCTCACTGAAAGAAGGCTAGTCTAAATGATACAGTGTTTGGGTTTTGACATATTAAAAAGCATGTCACTATTAATATTTCATGGAAATAGAACCAGGTCATTAAAGTTTATGTAGGGGTCATTTAGAAATCTTTTCATAGGTAAGAGTTCTCATTATATCCACTGTATTTAATTATTTCTTTCAGAGTTCTTAAACATACAGGATTAAACATCGACTTTAGAGTTTTGTTTGAATACTTTGTAAACAAATTCCTTTTCGAAAAAACCAACGCTAATTCAAAGGAGAATTTTAACCTGATCTTGTTCAGAATGTATCACAAATTTTCACTTGAGTGGAATCCAAGTAATGCGGGCTCTAAACCCATTTTCCAGAGTTGGTATCAGTTAACTGAGCACTGATGTTCACGTTATACTTTGCTGATGACGGTGCTAACGAAATATTAGATTATGAGATTATTGTGGTGTAAGAATTGTATAAAAAACCAGACTTTACAAGGGTACATCATCACCAGGCAAACAGCCTTTTCCTTTTTTTAAATAAAACGAGTGTTTTATATTCATCTGCCTCTTCTCTAAGCTCATTCATTTAACAAGATGGAGAAACAGGGAAGTTTGTTGAGGCCAAGCTGTGTTCCTTGTAGGTGCTCATGGTCCTGTAAGGCCACCTGTGAGGAGGGTGAGAGCAGGCAGGTGCTCTCAGAAGTTGAAAGACCTGCTGCTAGGCTGCCAGGTAACACGGAAGATACTGGGCCTGTGTCCGAACTTCCGTAATAGTAATGACTTCGTTTGCTATAGCCAATTTTTTTTTTACTCCCACTTTCAAATTTTTACCTTTTTTTTTTTAAGCCTCAGATTTTACTTCTGCTTTTCCTAGGCTTTCAACTTTCTGGATCAAAAATAGTTTAACCTTTATTTCTGTTCAATGTAGCTTTCATGTCTGCTGTTTTGGCCTAGTGGCTTTTCTTCTTTCAAATCTTCAGCTTCATTTTCAATTCATTGTTTTTTTTCAATGGTTGTTTAATTCTTATAACTCTTTTTGTATTTCAGTTTCTGGTTTTAGGGTTACCTAACCTTTTGAATCCTGTTTTTAGCAAAATGTGACTCTTTTCTTCCCTTTGCATATGGCTGCTTTGACACTTGTGGCTCTAGCCAGGCTCTCCCTCGTGCTGAAATTTTCCAGGACAGTTTCCCTAGACCTTCACCTGTGAGACCCTGTGGTTCCATAGGTCTCTGTGTTCCTTTATGGAGATAGCAGATTTGATGGAATAGAAGTATTGGTTTTTGACATTACATAATTCAGCCCTAGCAGGAAGACCAGTCATGAACCCCAAGAAACAACCAGTGGATTTGAGAATGAGAAGTACCTTTTGCTTGTTAAGATTTGATTGCAGAAGTCAAATCCAGAGACCCTGGGAGCGCCCCAGGCCTGATGCTGGCGAAGAACCAATAGTAGTGAATATCTGGGCAGGCATTTATCCCACAGCACAGCTGAGTTTTGTAGTCAGATTCCTGCAGCTACTTTAGTACCAGCCTCCATCCTTCCCTCCTTAATACCAGGCAGCCTCACCACCACTTCTGGAGGAGTCAGGAAGGAAAGGCTCCCTCACATAGTAAGAGCCAAGCAGAGTCTACATCAGGGTTTATGAATAGGGCCA